AATTTAATAACAATAAAATGTGATAAAATTCGAGACATTACGTTTGAGTTACGGATTAATCATTAACTACAGCTATGTTCTAAAGTTCCCACTATCTTTCCACACAGTTAATGATGAAATGTGGATAGTATATCCCCATAACTTTAAGGGGAGGAACTGGTTCCTGAAACACAGTTGTACTAGTTCAGGGGCCAGGGAATCAATGATTTTATATAAAAAAGGTCATGTTATAAAATAAATAATTATTTATTTATTATTATTATAGTATAGTATCCACATCTAATGAATATACAACTTTTTCGGCATAAATCACTTTTCATACATAACGTCACATCAGTACATTACACGGAGAGCAGCATGAAAGTTGCAATATGCATAAATATTCAAACGTTAGTCAATTATAAGATGCCGTTTGTTCAGTCTTGTGGTGTCACAGTTACTTTGACTTAAAGTATATTTTATGGTCTCGTAATGCAATTATGACACATTTTGCTTAGTATGGACAACCCATGTAAAGTCAGTGAATTGTTAACAGACTCTTGATGATATTGATAATAAATGACGACGAGGAAGAGGATGTCATTTTTCAGATATTTTCACACAGCAGCAAGTGGGTTTGGGCGACAAAGTAAAATCATATACCTTTAAACGAGTAATTCTTGTATATATATATATATATATATATATATATATATATATATATATATATATATACACACACACACACAACATGTAACATAATTAACGCACTTTGAGAAAGTAGTTTGTTAGAATCGTTTACTGAATCAATTCCTATCATTTTTAATATAGGTAATTTTTAATCCCAAAAATAATTAAAACTACGTAAATTACAGTCACACTAAATCTGTACAGTCAAAACAAACTGAAATGGACCGTAACTTACTTTTAAGAGTGCTGTTTTATTTGTATTATTACTAATTCAGTCATTCAATATAAATGAAGAAAAATGAACTTTATTTCAAGCACGTTAAAGTCTTTGCGTTCGTGGATTTGTACTGTGACCACAACATTCTTCCGGAATTAGTATAACTAATTTGATAAATAATCAGTGCATAAAAATGTTTAACTAAAAATTCAGTGTATGTATTATGATTATAACATAATATACTAATTGGGGTGTCTGAGGGTGTGCGTTAATTACGTTACATATTGTATATATAATCGGAATCTCGGAAACGGCTCCAACGATTTTCATAAAATTTAGTGTCCGGGGAGTTTCGGGGGCAAAAGAAGGGATCTTTTGTGAGAAAATCTATTATTACGAGCCCTTTTTTTAGTATTTTTTAATAATACGAAAATGTTAATTAAACTAATTGCACTCATGATTTTTTATTCAAATATCCAGTTCAGTTTTTTCTATTATGTCAATTAGATCAAAAAATATTATTCATCAGTATGTAATTTATATCTAAATCTAATTTCCAAAAAAAAAACCGAGCAAAGCTCGGTCATCCGGGTACTACTAATAATTTTCTCATGGCGTTTTTACAGGTGAAGAAATTGCGCTGGATGATGACACTTCGTATTTGGATGACGTTGTCAAAGCCCCAGCTGCACCAGACCGGGAGCCTGGAGCAGATAGTGTTCGTAACAAAGATGGAGTGCCTGTAGATGAGTTTGGTCTGCCTCAGGTTCCAAGTGCTGCTCAGACAATCCGCTGATAATCTGTTAAAAAGGTTTAGCTTTATTTTGATACGGGTTGTTGTTTCATTTACACAGCTAATTTCGATGTTATAATATTATTTATAAATGCGCTGTTATAAGTTTTGTTTATTACTAAGGCTTATGTTTTAAACATTATTCCGTTTTAGCTTACGTCAACTAAATTTAAAATCTGTTACAGTCAAAACTCTTTTCCCGGTCAAAACTACTTTTGACCAAGTAAAATAGTTAGTATATTTGTCTAGTTTAGTTAAAACTAGCTTTGGTTAAAAATATTGGTTAAAATCAATTATGACTTCTTAGTCAAAGTAAAATACTTTTGTATTTACTGAACATTGATATTTTACAAAACATTGCCAATCGATTTTAGGACAAGTTTTTTCCTAAACTAAATTAGTTTTTTAAAAGCCCGATGCACCTTCTTGCGATGATATTACTTTTTTAGTTATTCAAGGAATGTTTGTGAGGGTGTCTGGGGTGAAAACCGCGGAATAAGACTTGTTGCTGACAGACTTGTGGCATATATTACAGGCTTCAACCAAATTAATTCGTTTTGCTTGCAAGGTGCAGAAACAGAAGCTTAAGTTAACATCATATGTAGAAATTGATCTGTTCGATTCATTTTATTCAGAAAATGTCGGCGAATCAAATCGTATGTCAAATGTGCTAAAAAGTGAACGGCAAAAATGAAAATATTGGGCATTTTAAATTCCGTCATCGGCAGACATGACATTTGAATGATTCAGTTTTATGTTCACATCGATCAATTTTTTTTCATCCAAATTAAACATTAAAAGTAAACCATGTAATATTGTGGTATGTACACCACAATTACTCGGTACCGTGGTTTGGCCGGTAACAAAGTGCTTTTAACTGCTGTCAAAAGTAATTATGACCGGGAAACAGATTTGACTGTGATATAATCTATGAATAATGCAAAGTTAAAATTTTGTACCTGCATCAAAGTAAAGTTATACTTACTTATACGCTAGAGCTTAAAACTATTGTAAGAGATATTCTATATAAGTTGCCTAATATTAAAGATCTTGAGATTCTAAAGTGTTACGAATGAAACATTTACACAATAACTATGTAGTGCACATATAATATATACCAACAAATAATTACTTTAAATTTTCGTTTAGAAATCATACACTAGGAGTCCTTTCCAAATTTATTATATAAAGAAAAAATATATGTTAAAAATTATCGCTTTAAATCATATTGCTTTAAATGTTTTATTATGAAAATGTAAATTTAATATTCTTTTAATGTTTTTTTAAATAAAGTTTAGTTACTAAAGTTATTTATCGTCTTTTTTGTCTATTTCCATTTGTTGGCGTTTTCGTAATTTAGGCTCCGGTTTGTTTACGCTGGTGGCGCGACCATAGAATACTATAATACACAATAGAATGGCTGTCAACTTTATTTTTTACGAGGAGAGGCGTCGTCGGGAGCACACATACAAGCAATTACGTCATATTATCGGTTAATCACTACTACAAAACCCGATTCGCTGTCTTGATAGACGGATTTTAATATATATTTATTTGTAAATAGCGTGCAATTAAGCATTTTCTAAACAATTTGCATGCGAAATTTGGAAACGATTGTAACTTAAAAACACATCTCGTGTTGACATTTATACGTGTGAATTGACGTTTTAGTGGCATTTTAATGGATACACGGGCTCCGCCCACTCCCCCGTTCTATTATGTATGTATTGTAGTGTTCTATGGGCGCGACTACAGTGCAGCTGTAGGTTTCAAGTGAAATACTTAAGACGTTCTTATAATCGTATCTTAATTAACCCACATACTGATGACCACAGTAAATGGTCATGAGCGTACAATGACTGCCTGTATGTTCGAGCAAGTCGATACTCCATCTTGTCAATTTGGGATTGTGGAATGTCGCCCAAAACAGCGCTTGTTAGTACACAGCTGCCACTAAAGAAAGCTTCATCGGTTTTCAGTTCTTCGAGCTGTATGGTTTTTTTACGTCGTAGAGCCACACTGCAGCTATATTATGGTTGTAGCACGAGTGGATCGGATCGACCGGGGAAGGACCACGCTCTCACATAATACCAGCGTAAAATAGCAGCTTAATACTGCTGTGTTTCGTAAGTTGAGTGTAGAGAACCGGAGACCCTTTTTTACTGGAAACGAGGCATTCTATCTTAGTCCTCAGGGGTGACAACGCATCTGCGTTTTGATTCTTAATCGAGGATAAATGTAGATATCTATGGGCCATAGCATTCACTTACCATCAGTTGGACTGTGTGCTCAAAAAAAAATTTATAGAATACGGGTGACAAACGTTTGTTGTTTTATATGTTCTAAAATCTAACACGTAATCGTTTGGTTGAGCAATTTTTTAAGCAAAAATAACGGCATTTGTTTTTGGTCAAGGTTGTCAATACTATACTCAATACTATACCATATACTAGCTATGGACATGGGATGGGCAAGTGAAAAAAATATGTCGATATTGATCGTATCGATATTTTTAAACAGTATCGAACAGTATCAATAAAATTATCTCGTTTATAATATCGATATATCGTCATGTTTTACATGATGTAGCAGGATTTGGGCCAAAACGATTTTATTACTGGACGTTTTAACGAAGAAAATTTTTTTTTAAAATATATCGAAATTGATACGAATTCGATACTCTAAAATAAATATCGAATATCGATATATCACGATTAAAATATCCACGAGAATTATCGATAATTTTGTGAGAAAATATTTGATATATCCGCTGTTAATTTCGTCTTGTCTGTCTCTGTCCGGAATCCGTATACACTGTGAGTGATTTTGAGAGTCAGTTCTCTCTCAATTTTTGGTGTGATTTACTATCCAAAACTGTTTGTCACGTGTTATTGTTGTTAAGTGATTAACAATTGCTTGTAATTAATGAAAAAATGTATAGGATTGTTATAAGGGTTATATCGGAAAGTAAAACAAATAAATGGAAGGTGATAAACCTTTAATATTAATTAAAATAATTTAAGGGCATTATATTACACAGTCAACTCCAAAATACTGTTGTTCAATCTTATGTTTAATAAGACATTGTGCGTACTGAATCACAGTAAATCGGTAACTTCTGCGGTCTTGATGCGCGATCCTTACTTTATCGAGCCTCATCGCAGCACTGTATAATAACTAGGCAACTTGAACAATAAATAAGATTACTTAGTCTTCAATATTTACATCCTAAACAATATACACAACCACTTGGAACTGTGATCGTTTCGCGTTGCTGAAAGTCTAATTGCACTATCTAGTTTTAATGTACACTTGACCTCTTTAATCCAGGGCTTCTTGACCTGTCTTTGGCAAGAAGAAGCAGAGTATTGCAGCAACTGGAAAAGGAATGTGTTTTTAATATTACGAAATTGTATATTACCAATATTTAATTAATATTTGAATTAAGAACTGCGGATTTGAAGTCGGAATTTAAGACATGGTCATGGTCATATTGCACATGATCTTTCATCGCTAGAACTGGCTTTGAGTTTTGGTCGGGCAGCTTGAATTAATTTATCAGATACCTTTTTTATTCTCAGGAACCTATAGATGTCTATAGCCAGACAAGAGCCGACTTTTGGGGTCCAGGCAAGGTTTGGCCTTAATCTCCACGCTTAGCCGGCGGATTGGTGATGATAGATCCAAACGTCTTGCACCCTTGACGTTACTTCCCGTCGCTGGTCTGGGTATTTTACGTCTGGCGTACGCAAGATGGTTATTCTATCATTTATCTGAAGCCATGACATTTTTCTGGCATATCTCATAGTCGCCTCTTGTCATATCTGCGGGGCGAAATCGGTTGATGGATTCTCTTACGTCACCACCTTATGGTATAGTTAAATTGATAATATATAAATAATCAAATTGTACAAAATATTAATAATGTCCTCCAGACCGAATTTCGGCCACGGCGGCCTGCCTCAACGGAGGCCAGCCATCGGCGCAGGACAGGATTATAGTGCCCAAGTGTATGCGCAAGCACAGGTGCACTCTCTATTTCCTCACTCTCGTTATCCGATGGGACGGTAAACCGAAAAGACCGGGAGAGAGACCAGGCGTAGGACCAACGGTTTTACGTTCTTTCGGAGGCACGGGGTTGAGACACTGCCAACTTCCTGACTCCGGGCAGCTACTGAGAATTTCTAGACAGAAAAACTCAATAATTGATTTTTGGGCCCGACCCGGGATTCGAACCCAGGACCTCATGATCAGCAGTCGCACTAGACCAACGAGGTAGTCAATTCAACGAAATATTAGTTATTATACGTAAATCTGAAATGAGAAAGAATTAGTACTTACTAAATAGGAATGCTGAGAAGACAACAATAGGCACAATGCAGTTGATGTCTATGAGGTAGCCAAATGACAGGTTTCCAATGAGACCACCGCCTCGACCCGCCGTGAGGGAAAGTGCAGCCGCCATTACCCTGGAACAAGTTTGTAAAAATATAATAACTGTAACGATGTAGTTTCCAGGCCATTTTCGATTTTGACGATAAATAATAGTTTCCGATTATTTTTGTAAGCAATCAACAGGTGTACGCACAATCACAAATGCGTATCCAAACATTTTTAATTTTAGTGATATTAAAAACCATGATAGTTTCAAGACTATATTATGTAGTATATTATCTGTAGCTATGAAGCAGTGTCAAAGGCAAGGCACATTAGTATTACAAAATATAAATAAGAAATTAAATCAATTGTTTGCTTTTTAATAATGTCAATATTTTGGCTACGACTATAATATGAAAATGAAGCAAGAACCGCGGCTTAAAAGCCAGAATTTAAGACATGGTCTTTCATCATTAGCAGTTCACGGCAGTCCTGTGCTAGACATAAGCCCCTTCCAAGACGTTTTAGTTAACCCGGTGTCCGGCTTCACTGATCCAGTTGCTTAAGCAGGTCGTCGCTCCATCTGGTCAGGGATCGTCCCACATTGAGGTTACTTAAGCGGGGTTCTGCCTCACGACCACTAATTGTTTATGACTAAAACGAACATCAAGACCACTCGATATCCCGTACTTTATACGTCATGACCACATCAACTCCTTAAAAGTTCTCGTAGCTCTTATAAGATGCCATTCTCAAAAAGAAATCATTTAGTATCTGGTGATGTGTTTAAAGTATCAATATAGATATTAATTATTATAAGAGTATAATAATATTTATAGTAATAAAATAATTCTACACTTAATTTTTCCAAAATTGTCGGTTAGGCAAGAGATTCTTAAAGTGCGTTCCGCGGATCTTAAGGGTTCCGTGAAAAAGTCATCAGGGTTCGCGAAATTAATTATTTTTGCTTTTTAAATAATTCATCAGTTAGCTACAAATATTATTTTGAAATTGTCCAAAATATGTGATGAGAAACGGCCATTACTGTTATGACACGAACGTCCATTACGTAGTTGGTAAGAGAGCATTCTGCACTATACTGCGGATAAATAATTAGTAATTTTACTTTTAAAATATTTTACTTAGATTTAGATAAAAGTTTCACTTCTAAATCATTTCTAATAAAAGTTTTCGTTCTCATTTAAATGTCACTGTCTTTGATTTCTAATTATTTGATGTGGTGTTCCATAAAATAAGAGCGTAGCATACCTTAAAAGTTTAGGAACCGCTGGGTTAACCTATGGCATAGTCGCAAATGCAGCTCCAGAAACTGCACTTTTATAAAAATAAAATAAAATTTTCTTAATTTTTCAACAACTTACCTAAGATTCGTGGGGAACAAGTCGACAAGCACACAGAACACAAGACTGATGGCGAGCGAGGTGAGGGCTTCAAAGATGCATGAGAGGACCAAGTTCTGAGTGGAGTTTTGCACGTAGTACAAACCAACCGTCACTAAACCGGCAACACCCAAACTGAAGACTGAAACAAATTAGCAATTATTGGTTATATTCTTCTTCGTACGTACTTCGTAAAAGTCTACTTCTAAGTCTCCTTTATAGGAAAGATTTGCTTTAATTTTCGCTCTTGGTAGGCTAATTTGCGTTCGCAGTATACCAGACCTGTATCTCTCTTTCTAGCACCTGGGACGCTGCACCAGGGTAACATAATTCTTTGGAAGCCATGATCTTGCTACCATTTTTTTTATAATCATCTCTTATGACTTCACATGAACAAATGGGGCTGCTAGTTTTAAAACTTTACGGGTTATACGAATGAGTTATAATTTTATTTAAGAAAACATTTTTGTAAAACTTTGGTAAAGGCAATAGATTATTAAGCGCATCAGAAATGTAGATAACTAACGTAGATATTACAAGAAACGAAAACTGTTGTGTAAAACCAATTAGAAAATTGAAGCATTCTTGATTTCTTGAACATAAGTAATACATATGTGCATGTAATAATAGTACAGATAAATAGAACGTCAAAAGATTTTTCATGTAAGCTTATATTAATATTGTGACTCACTTAACATTTCTGTAGTATTTGTAAAAGTTCGATTTCTGTCTGGTCACCACTAAAATTAATTGCAACTTTAAGTGCTGATTTACCACGTGCTCGATGGTCACTAAAAGCATCGCGAGGAATCCTGTATGTCCGCGAAATCAGCCAACAAAACAAAACGGCGGACTCCTTTCTGCTCCCAAAAACTGTATCGTTGGGCGAATCATTTATTATCATCATCATTAGAGTCTATCGAAAGTCCATTGTTGAACTTAGGCCTTACCGATAGATTTTTTCATTTTATATTTGCCATAGTTGCCACGCATATGCAGTAGGGGTAGGCGACCGCAGTATTTTTTATTTTAAGGAGGTTATTAGGAAGACACTGCTGCCAATCTCCTGGATTGTTTTCCACTGTTCCCCCTTACGACACCCAAGTGACTATATGGAGTATATATTCTGACACGGCCACTACACGGTTAACGGGATAATGTAGGCTCATATTTACTTCAGTCAAAATAAGTCAATCGATCAAAACTTTATGATGATGTTCACAAAGGTAGCCGTGGTAGCTCAGTGGTTAACGCTCGCTGTAAATATAACAGAACGCGAGTAACCCGGGTTCGATCCCCGCCGGCACCAATGAAATTGTTATTTTCAATTTTAAGTGCTGATTTACCACGTGCTCGGCGGTGAAGGAAAACATCGTGAGGAAACCTGCATGTCTGAGGAATAAGAGAAAAAAAATATTTCGAAGACATGTGAAGTTCGTCAACACGCATTTGGGCAGCGCGGCGGACACTTCCTTGCCCTAAACCCTCTCAGAAATGAGGGGAGGTCTGAGCCCAGCAGTGGGACGTATATAGGCCGTAACTTTAACTTACTTTAACTTTCACAAAGGTGCTTTATAATGAAACTAGTTTTTACCAGTGATCCGTAAAAGTTGGTTTCACTAAGAGCTTCCTAAAGATATTCATACTTACTAAGGAAGAACTTAGCGCCAAGTTTGTGAACGCAAAGTGGAAGCCACAGGGAGGTCGGTATGCAAGCGAGACCGACGATAAGCGTGTGCATGTACACGCTTTGGTCGATGATCTTTTCGCAGTCGAAGGGGTCGGCGACTGCTTCATCGCCCACCACGATGCCGGACACGTCGCATACCGACGCTGAAGTGTTGGGGAAGCGGTGCTCGAACTCCTCGTAGCGGTTGAACAACTCGGGGAACCAGATCATGAGGGTGTAGTAGCTGGAAGTGGAGGATAAGTTGATTCAATTAATATACAACGGCTAAAGTAAAAATATTTGATAAATATTTATACAAAGTAAAAATATTTGGTTGAGGCAATATATTGGATGATTTTACTTTTTCCGATAGTAGACTGCATTACGTACAGGTGAAAAAGGTTAACATTTAAAGTAATTTTGTTTATTAAACCTTACAACAATAATAAATTCTGTGCGTTCTAAAATTACAAAGCCAAGAAATATCATTTAGTGACAAATGAGCGCACAGTCCACCCGATGGTACGTGGATGCTGTGGCCTATAGACTTCTACATTTATCCTCGATTAAGAAACAAAACGCAGATGCGTTATCACGCCTAAGGATTAAGATGTAATGCCTCGTTTCCAGTAAATAAGGGTCTCCGGATCTCTACACTCACCATAAACTCCGCTCTTTGTGTCCTTTTATTTTCTAAGGAGACGCAATAAAAATTTAAAATATAATAAATAAATACGAAACACAGCAGTATTAAGCTGCTATTTTACGCTGGTATTCTGTAAGAGCGTGGTCCTTCCCCGCTCGAGCCGACCCATTCGTGCTACAACCATAATATACCTGCAGCGTGGCTCTACCACGCATAAATTTCAAATTTCGAAAGTTCTCACCAAATACTTTTTTACTATTTTGTGTACTTATTTTTCTTACCTAGTAGTTAATCCGAACTGGATGAGGCAGGTAAGGATTGTGTATTTGAGGTAGGGAGGTCGACATAAAGCTTTGGTTTGAACCCAGATCTCGCTAAACAACCTTTTCAGGTCCTTAGGTTTACGCATACTCAAGCTTCGCACAGATTTCTGAGAGCTTTGCGACGCCACCGATATTGTTCGCACTTTTTCCTTGAGGCTCTTGATCTATGAAAAAAAGAAAAATTACATCAGTGGGAATAATAGCTACTACGTAGAACATTGATGCATTAATAATAATAATCTTTATTGATAAACATTTTACACGCACAAAATTTACAGTGGTCATTAGCCCCCTAAACTAGGATATAATGCCTGTATTTCAGGGGCTAGTTACAGATATTTCAATTATTAAAGCAAAAAAAGAACTTTATTTCTCTATAATTCAGTTTAATTCAATAAAAGTAGGAAAAAGGTACATAAATGTATTATGTTATGGGTTATGGAACGCCAGTTACATTTATAAGCTAAGATTCTCAATTCGACTGTTTCTTCTTTATTTGTATGTTTACGCGATATCTTCGTCAATTATGCACTGGTTTCAGGGATTGTTTTAAAAAAAAATAGATGTTAATATTATAGTAAATACGTATACTTCAGGGATCGCATATAAATTTAGAGGAATAATTCTACCTGTAAGGGTGGGAAAATAGGGAATGAAGTTTTAACGTAACTATTACTTATTCTACTCAAAAGGGTCAAAAATTAACTTCTAATAAAAAGTAAATTAATTTCTACATAACAGCTCCTAACGTATATCGAAATAATTTTAGCCTTTTTAGTTTTTTTGAAGTCGGCTCCTACTTTTTATTAAAGCTGTTTTTTAAATTCTAATTCTAATTCTATTTAATTTTAAATATTTGCAGCATCAACTTATTGATGACATTATATTCCCGTTCGTAGTGATAACATCATTTACATCTACTGTTACGATGGTCTAATGCATTATAAGTAATGCATTAGATTCTGTAATGTAATGACCATCGTAACAGTAGATGTAAATGATGTTATCACTACGAACGGGAATATAATGCGATTTCCCGTTATAAAATAATTTCTACTTTGAATACCTTATGTCATTTTAGTAACTAATTAATTGAAGTTAATTATAGTAACACTTTTATAAATACCGTTTAAAATGTTAATATTATAGTAAATATATAAATATTAGTCTAATTGTTATACTGTTTACAATCCGTCATTGTTTATTCAATAAAATTAAAGATAATGCCTTTCAAGTGACAAATAATATTACGATAATAATAAATTCTTTCATGTTGCCACCATCTATTTCAACAATCTTAACATAAAGTTACTTGGCTATGTTCAAATTTCAGGTGTAGATAAATATTGTGTATGTTTACCGGGTAATTATCGGGATCATCGCCAGTATTTTGTCGGTAGATGTTCTTAAGGCAAGCGAGTGCATCGTCGTAGTCTCCACACTCCATCATGAACTTGGGACTTTCAGGGAACGAAAACAGCCAGAAGCCCAACATGAGAGACGGGACTGCGCAGGCAGCGACGAACCAGTTCCATGAGTCGTAAGAAAAGCTGCCGTTTTCAATACGAATGCCTTGGATCGGTATTATACCCCAAGCGATTACTACGGGAAAATTGCAAAAAATAATAATATAGATTAGTAACCACAAGAAAAAGAAGAAAAGGTCCGCGGTCAGTAGTTTTAATAGTAAAAACATGTGATTCCATTTTTTTTTAACTAATTTCAAGTATTGTCTTAGAACCACAAATATTAGACTAGATATTTTTATATAACGAAAGGTGTCAAGCGAGCGGTAAGTAAACGAGTGTCTAATTATATCCACCTGATGGTAAGTGGATGCTGTGGCTTATGGATGTCCACATCTATCTATCCTTGATTTAGAATTGAATTGATTAAGAAGCAGATGTTGGTCTTTTTCCCTAGACTTAAGACTTAAGGGTGTGGCCGTGAAAGGAAAAGGGGAGATCTCCCGCCGGGTAAGGTGTTCTGCCCGGGGAGCGGCCAACATTCCTAGTGATATTTCGGAGAAGTTCTATATATACTGTCTATGATTCGGAATGTTAATAGCGCGATTTAGGCTTCGGTGTGTTTACGCCGTGTAGTGGCGGTTGAGAATATCAACTACCCCATATCTTCCCGTGGGTGTCGTAAGAGGCGACAGAGGGAGACAGGCAGGAGATGGGCAGCAGCATCTTTCTGATAACAACTGTGTTATAATAAAAAACTGCGGTTGCCAACCTGCTCGCCAAGCGTGGCAACTATGGCAAATATCCCCCCATTAATAACGACGCAAAAAAAACGGCCCCCGGTCCCCGGCGGCCCCGCTATTCCTGGCTACGGTGGCGACCATGGTAACGGCGGGGCAGGGGGTGCTAAGAATCTCCGGTGGAGGTTCGGTTGCCACCTACGACGACTCGACCTGGCAGCATATAACGCACGCACTCTGAGGACTGACGAGAAGATACTGGAGCTGGAAGAAGAGGTAGACAAGTTGCGCTGACATATTATTGGATTATCCGAGGTCCGAAGAGAGGGGGGGGGATAAGGCAATCCTCGAGTCCGGCAACTTGTTCTACCACCGGGAGGGCGACCATCTGTCCCAAGGAGGTGTCGGATTTATCGTCCACAAGTCTCTCGTCAACAACGTTGTAAAGATTGGGAGTGTGTCGACGAGGGTCGCGTACCTGATACTCAGAATCACCAAACGGTATTCGCTGAAGGTCATATAGGTTTACGCACCAACCTCGGCACATCCCGATGAGGAGGTGGAGGAAATGTATGAGGATATTTCCAGAGCCATGCATTCCTCCAAAACCCACTACACGGTGTTGATGGGAGACTTCAACGCAAAACTAGGTACAAGAGAAAGCGGTGAGCTGAAGGTGGGGAAATTTGGAGTAGGGCAACGGAACCGAAGGGGCCAGCAGCTGGCCGACTTTATGGAGAAAGAGGGACTCTTTATGATGAACTCTTTCTCCCAGAAGCGGCCCCACAGGAAGTGGACCTGGTCGAGCACCGACGGTTCGACAAAAAATGAGATTGACTTCATTATGACGACCAGACGCCAGCTGTTCAGTGATGTCTCAGTGATCGCAAGGGTGAAAACTGGCAGCGATCACCGAATGGTTAGAGGCACACTGAACCTAAATGTTAAGTTGGAGAGGTCTCGTCTAATGAAGTCAACGCTCCGTCCCCCCTCGTGCTCTAATCCAGAATCCCGAAACCTTTCAGCTGGTGTTAAAAAACCGCTTTCAGTGCCTAGAGGATTGCAATGCAGTGGACGATATGAATGACAAGCTCGTGGAAACTGTCCATGCGGTCGGAGCTAAGTTCTGCAAGACCCGCCGCAGAAGAACACAAAAACTCTCCGATCACACTCTTAATCTCATGCTGTTAGACGGGAGATGAGGCTGCAATCGTCAACAGATTTGACAGCATACAGGCAACTGAACAGACAGATCTCCAAATGCATGCGGCGGGACTTACGCAACTTTAATACTGCTCGTATTAAAGAAGCGATCGAGCGTAACCAGGGCTCCAAAGTCTTTGCCAGAGATCTGTCTGCCAGAAAGAGCCAACTGTCAAGGCTGAAGACTGAGTGTGGCAACATCGTTTCCGGGACACCTGAGATTCTGAGTGAGATTGAGAGGTTCTATGGGCAGCTGTACACATCATCGTTGGAGCCACACGCAAGTGTGAGTAACGATCCAAGAGCAAGTCTTATCCGACACTATTCCGATGATATCCCGGACCTCAGTCTGAGCGAGATTAGAATGGCTCTCCACCACCTTAAAAACGGCAAGGCCCCGGGCGAGGATGGAATTACAGCGGAGCTTCTGAAAGCGGGTGGAAGCTTCAGCCGGTGGTACTTGAAGTCCTTCAGAGGCTCTTCAATTCCGTCCTCCATGGTGGCAATACTCCGAAGGCGTGGAGCAGAAGCGCGGTGGTCTTGTTCTTTAAGAAAGGCTACAACGCTCTCTTGAAGAACTACAGACCGATTTCCCTTCTGAGCCGCGTCTACGTGCTGTTTTCGAGAGTCATTACGAATCGTCTCGCACGCAGACTCGACGACTTCTAGCCTCCCGAACAAGCCGGTTTCCGAAAAGGCTTCAGTACCATAGACCACATACATACCCTTCGGCAAATTGTACAGAAGTCCGAAGAGTACAATCTGCCACTTTGCCTGGCGTATGTGAACTATGAGAAAGCCTTTGATTCCGTCGAAATTTGGGCGGTGCTACAGTCTCTTCAGCGGTGCCTAGTTGACTGTCGGTATATTGAAGTGCTGAAGTGTTTGTACAGTAGGGCTACGATGGCTATCCGAGTACAGAACCAGAGTACGAAACCTATCCAACTGCAGAGAGGTGTAAGACAGGGTGATGTTATATCCCCGAAACTCTTCACCGCTGCGTTGGAAGACGTTTTCAAGCTACTGGACTGGAAGGGATACGGTATTAACATCAATGGCGAGTACATCACTCACCTTTGATTTGCCGACGATATAGTCCTTATGGCAGAATCGCTGGAGGACCTTAGCACTATGCTCAATGACCTCAATGGTGTCTCCCAACGGATAGGTCTTAAGATGAACATGGACAAAACAAAGATCATGTTTAATGTCCATGTCACACCTATGCCGGTAGTTGTTGGGAGCACTATGCTCGAAGTTGTTGACGAGTACGTTTACCTGAGACAAATAGTCCGACTAGGTAAGTCCAACTTCGACCGAGAGGTCAATCGACGGATTCAACTCGGCTGGACAGCGTTCGGGAAATTACGACACATCTTCTCGTCAGGTATACCTCAATCTCTGAAAACTAAAGTATTACAACCAGTCCGTGTTGCCAGTGATGACTTACGTATCTGAGACGTGGTCCTTCACTGCTGGTCGTATGAGGACGCTCAAAGTCACTAGTAGCGAGCTATGGAAAGGGCTATGCTCGGAGTTTCTCTGCGTGATAGACTCAGAAATGAGGATATCCGCGGTAAAACCAGAGTGACCGACATAGCCCAACGGATTAGTAAGCTGAAGTGGCAATGGGCCGGCCATATAGCTCGAAGAACCGATAACCGATGGGGAAGAAAGGTTCTCGAGTGGCAGCCTCGTACCGGTAGGCGTAGTGTAGGGCGACCCCCCACTAGATGGAGTGACGACCTGGTAAGACATGCAGGAAGTCGATGGATGCAGGTGGCTCAGGACCGTGCTTTGTGGCATTACTTGGGGGAGGCCTATGTTCAGCAGTGCACTTGCGAAGGGCTGTAATGATGATGATGATGATGTGTTTCGGTGTGCTAATGGCGCGACGACAGCGCCGCTACAAGGGTTAAGGTGACCTGCCTCGATACAAAACAGAATCATTATTACTAGGTTATGCTGCGATTTTTCCCTGATATTCTATGAGGGCGTGGTTAATACCATCCGATGCGGATCCATTCGTGTCACAGCCGTAATACAGCTTCAGCATGGCTTTTCTACGTTAAAATCATTCAAACCCCAAAAAAATTATACCTTGGTTTAAGCAAGTGTGATTGGCTTTTAATTTTTAATAATACTAACGTGGAAGTAAGATGACACCCAATGTCCAGAACATTTCCATCCAGCAGAGGATCTTCTCTCTGTATTTGGTTTGTTGAAATTCTCCCAAGTATGGGAAACAGATACCCATAGCGCCGGCAACACTGAAAGAAAAATATTGTACTTAAATTAAATTTATCATTATATGCAGCTTTTTGGGAATTTACGAGCGGTGTTTTTTCGTCTAGGCACCAATTGTTTTATGCATATCTAACAAATAAAATATTTTGAGGGAATGTGAAATCCGACAAGACCGCTGAAAAAGCGTAGTGGACTACCCATTCCAAAAACCGTCTCTGAAATGAGAGTAGACCTGTGCTCTGCCGTGGAATTCCGCTGGTTACAAATATTTTTCAGATAAGTTTTAAGTTGTCGGGAATGGTAAGTAGTGCTTAATACAAATACTTTCCATTACAGCGTATAAAATCCACTGCTAACAGAGGCCTCCCTCATTGTCTTTTGGGGGCTTTGGCCATAGTAGCTTGGCAAGCGGGTTGGGAACTAGTTTTTTATAATTATGAATTGTTATTAGGAAGATGCTGCTGCCCATACCCTACTTCAGTTTCCCTCTGTCACTTCTTACGACATCACGGTACGATATATAGGGTAGTGGATGACACACGGATTATCTACAGTATTTTTTGAATTATAAGTATACTATATACATATTATATATATATATATATATATATATATATATATATATATATATACAATATATAACGTAATTAACGCACACCCTCAGACACCCCAATTAGTATATTATGTTATAATCATAATACATACACTGAATTTATAGCTAAACATTTTTATGTACCGATTATTTATCAAATTAGTTATACTAATTCCGGAAGAATTTTGTGGTTACAGTACAAATCCACGAACGCAAAGACTTTAACGTGGTTCAACCGTTAAAGTCTGTAAAGTTCATTTTTATTTATTTTTATTGAATGACAGAATTAGTAATAATACAAATAAAACTGCACTCTTAAAAGTCTTATTGCCTTAAGTTACGGTACATTTCAGTTTGTTATGACTGTACAGATTTAGTGTGACTGTAATTTACGTACTTTTAATTATTTTTGGGATAAAAAATTATCTATATTAAAAATTATAGGAATCGATTCAGTAAACGATTCTGAACAAACTACTTTCTCAAAGTGCGTTAATTACTCGTATGTTACGTGTTGTATATACAATATGTAACAAAAACCCTGTGGTTCCCGTTAAGTGCGTTATCAGAATCAGTATCCAAACGTATAGAATTTTTTTTTTCAAAAAAACACATTTAAAAAAATTTAAAGGGGAAAAAATTTAATTTGCAAACTGTATGTGGTTTTATTATGCAGAGCATTGGCCGAGGAGTAAGAGGATTGTCAAAGACCCCGCATTACCGATACTCGTGTGAGTTAGAGGAAATAAAACCACATACAATTTGCAAATCAATTTTTTTTTCTTTAAAATTTTTTTTTGTTTTTACGAAAAGAAAAAATATTGCTATACGCTTAAATACTGATTCTGATAACGCAGTTAACGAGAACCACAGGGTTTTTGTTATATATATATATATATATATATATATATATATATATATATCATATATATTCTCGGCCGTGCTTGATATATCCATATGATATATATCTATATATATATATATTATAATATATATTAACAGCCAGGTGATTTAGCCAGTTGCTAACTTTTCCCTCTGTATTGCATAATCCCTACCATACATCTTTCACATGTAAGTTGCGCTACACGGCCTCTAATTTTACCGCGCAACAAACGGCGACCTCAGTATTAGATCTGGTCAATGATTCGTAGTTTTTTTTTTCAATTAAATAATATTAAATTAACGATATACGGTATTGTTGGAGATGATCGCAACCTTTGGTACCTATAAGGTGTCTGATAATAAAGATTAAATAATAATAAAAAAATATTGGTATCTAACACATTTCACAAATTCGTGGCCAGCTCTTAAACTAGTCTTTAATCACGTGAAAAGTTATACAATTAAATGATTGACTATGAAACAATAAATTATTCATGGTGATATGCGATTGTTTGCCGTCGTGTTAAAATGATTTTTTTCTTTTAGATACAGTTGTCACTAGTTGACAGCCTTAAGTAGCATGTTAAACATTATCTGTACATGTCAGGTGCGTGACATGAACCAAGTAGTATTAGGTATTAGTGACATTACTATCTAAATTTATATTGTCAAAATGAAGCAATATTTATGTAGAATAAATTTTTTAATAGAATAAGGGTGACAAACGAGCACACAGTCCACCTGATGGGAAGTGGATGTTGTGGCCCATTGACATCTACATTTATCATCAATTAAGAATCAAAGTGCACATGCGTTGCCTTGTTGATTGAATGCCCCATTTCCAGTAAACCGGTTCTCTACACTCATCATATGAAACACAGCAGCATTAAGTTGTTATTTTACGCTGGTATTCTGTGAGAGCGTGGTCCTATCTCGGTTGAGCTGAGCCATTCGCGCTACAACTACATTAATGATGCAGTGTGGTTCTACCATATAAACTAGTTTTACCGTACGTAAGTACACGAACTAGCTTTTTTCCGCGAATTTGCTCTAGTGCTTCGCTTTACCAACCTATCTTTTTTTTAAAGAAACGTTGTGATTTTCCCCCACATTAGGATTTTATCATGTATCGTGAAGGCATTTCACGTGCGAAACTTGCACGAGGGTTAACATCCGGACCGAGAACAATTATTTACAGACTATAAAAATGCTTGCTCTGTTCGGGATACGAATACGGAGCCCTCGGTGCCGTAATTGAATGCTAAGCCAATGCGTCACGAAGCTGTCCTTATTAGTTTTTTATGTCAAAATTCAGGACATTGTTGTGTGTCAGTGTGTTTGTCTGTCTGTCACAAACGTTATTCTCAGAGGCTTTACAATAATTCGCTCACTCCGTTTTTTTTTCGTTGTTTATTTTGTAATTTTCTTTTTTGGCACCCCATTACCATCCGTTACAGCCTATAAAAACCGGCCAAGAGCGTGTCGGGCCACGCTCAGTGTAGGGTTCCGTAGTTTTCCGTCCGTCACAATAAGTGTTCCCACTTATGAGTTTAAAGGTGGGTATCCGTTATGTTCGCACTCCAGCAGCGCTCCGCGCTCCTACAACTGCTCCCGGTAGTGGGTACTGTTGTTTCCATCCAAATTCAAAATGATTTTCCTAGAAAGTCCTTAGGCGGTGGTCTCCTATAAACGCCATCGGCCGCTTACAGCGTCACGCCGTACGCCGCGTTACGATGCTTAATATAGAAATATACTGTTGTGGTCTCTTTCACAAGCTGATGTCGGCGTATGGACGTCGTAGGCGGCGTTAAGACGCTTTGCGCTGCGTCTCTAGTTATTTCGAACCATTGCAGCGTGAAGGTCGTATCTAGCGTCAGTACAAAATGACAAAATTTAATAAAGAAAAAGACGAGTTACTGTATTACCTACTATTATATTTAAATTGTTCCTGATTAATACGAAAATATTCAGTAAATTTAGAATTGCTGTCTTTTAAGTGCTTTATTATCAATAGCTAGCTGGAAACATCCTTTTTCATATCTCTTCATAAATAATCGGTGCCTTGTTGCATTTATTTTTCTTCGTATACGGTCGTCTTGTGCCTCTTCTTCAAGTAACACAAGCGCTCCCAAAAGTATTGAATTTATATCCATTTTATGTACAAATGTGACACACAACCACACGTGAGCACTGTCGGCTACTTAATTGTTGCTCGATCGAAAGTCTAGACGTCGCGTCGTCCGTTTGTAAAATATGTATTGACCGCTGACGCTGTGCCTGGCGTTCAGACGCCGATCGGAATGTTTACGCTGAAGTCGGACGTCACGTATAGCATTTAATAGGAGACCGTAGCCTTATAAAGTTCTACTTTTCAGATTTTTTTCAAATTTTATTTTCTAAACTTATGGTTCAAAAGTTAAGGGGGGGGGGGGACACATTGTTTTTTACTTTTGGAGCGATTATATCCGAAATTATTGACATTATCAAAAAATATTTTAGTAAACCCCTATTCATTTCCTTAAATACTTTTCCAACAATATATCACACGTTAGGGTTGAAATTAAAAAAAAATCACTTCTCACTTTACATATAGGGGGGCTACCCTAATAAAACATTTTTTTCCAATTTTTATTTTACCACTTTGTCGGCGTGATTGATGCACATATTGGTACCAAATTTCAGCTTTCTAGTGCTAAGGGTCACAGAGATTAAGCGAGGACGGACAGACGGACAGACAGACATGGCGAAACTATAAGGGTTCCTAGTTGACTACGGAACCCTAAAAATCCACAGCCAAACCTCAGGCTCTCCCATTGATTATCTCATAGGGAGGATTTGGCATAGTTGCCATGCTTGGCAGGCGGGTTGGCAACCGTTTTTATTATTTTGAGTTGGTATCCGGAACATCTTCTGATTTAGTTTTCCCTCTGTCACTTCTTACGATACCCATGGGCCGATGAGGGGTAGTGGACACTTTTAACGATATATTTCACAGTCACAAATCTGATTCTAGCGTAGATAAGACGTCGTCTCGACAAAACCAAAAATATATTATGTTGTATATACAAGTTTTAAGCTGACGCTGTACGGTAGATTTTAGACTGTGAAGAGTTCACTTCTAAACGCAAGTCTCTCTCAAATTTGAAAATTTGTCGTAATCACCTTTTTATCATTTATTTTTAGCCTTAAACTTAACTTTATATCATCAACAATATCACAGCCCTTTCAGAAGTCCACTGGTGAAGATAAACCTTCCCCAAGGAATATAAGGCTCGGTCCTGAGTCACCTGCATCCATCGATTGCCTGCGGACGGATTATTTAGCTGAAGTGCAATGGATCAGGCATATAACTCTAAAAACCGACAACTCAGGAAAGAGAAGTTTTCGAGTAGCTAGATAGAGTGCCAACCTGATAAATTTCATATATACGTTACAGGAAAGATGAGGGCTAGGGTGTGTTTATATTTTTGGTATAAAACTTAAAGCACTTAAATTTGCCATATGTAAATACATCATTGGAACCGGTCGGAAGGACATTCTTCATCATAAACATAGGTTTTTGTTATACTTACGAAAATCCGTTGATAAATCTGCATGCCATGAAGATTGGTAAAATCTGAACGAATGAGGAGAGGATACCAACGAAGCCATCAATCAGGAGCGTTGATACTAATACCACTTTACGACCTTTGGTATCAGCCAGGCAGCCCCAGAAATATGACCCGAGGACCATTCCTAAAAAATAATATTAATAACGGTCTTAAAATTTCATTACAAAATATAAAGTTAGAAGAAATTCAAATACTCAGTCTAATCCGAAGTCCGAATCCGCTGTTCAAATATTGTCAAGAAGGACTCTTAACTCAAGCATTTTAAGTTTGAGGTTAGCGGAAGTTTAAAAGGTCAAAAATGCAAAAATGGGCTTATTTAAAAAAAAAGTACGATTTCTAGCAGATTTTGTTCATGTTTATGTTTTGGTGTGTAATACAATAAAGTGTTTTCTATCTGTCTATCGTTTTTTAACAGTAAAAGCTTTGTTGAGTGTTTTTCCGAAGTAAAGTTTACATGTACACGCTAATGTTTCTCTTTATAATAGAAAAATATTGCAGAAAAATTGTTGAATGTTTTGTTGATGCTTTTATTCTTATAGTGACATATTATTTTTAACCATCTTAGTTTTCCATGAACCAAAGGACAGTCGATTCATATATATATATATATATATAGCATCGGCGATCAGAGATTTACATCTTCACCGAAACTACACGGCGACATATTTTGCAATCGATTTTTAAACTAAGTTCTTGATGAAAATATGCTCAGCAGTGGATGACAGACAAAACGCAGAAAATAATACAACTTTTAAAAAAGGGCTTTTAGTCTCCTAATATAAAATCCCCTTGCCTCGGTAGTTAAATGATTTACTAGCCCGATACAGATTGACAGCCTTGAAAAAATAAAACAAAAAAGATGGCTCGCATGCAATAAATAATAATATTAATATTGTATGTAATACTAAATTTGTTTTGTTACTTCCGACGTGACGGGTTTGCAGTGTAAAGCGTTTAGTGATTTGATTCGGCTTTTAAAACAATAGTAGACTTACTCCGTTCAAATGAACGGAGTAAGGTTTAGTCGCAACATCTGGTTCTCAAAAGGCAATGCAAATGCTGATCCACTAAAGGTATTCAATTGTTATTAGGTTCGTAAATGTCATGTTACGTTTAATTACGTTATTTATTTAGCTCACAAATACTGTCAGTTCATAATACATAAGCTTCTTATGGCACGGGCAATGGGTTTGGTGGGGTGACACGTGTATGCTTGGTTGTTTTCATATAACAAAGGATTTAATAGCGCTTAGGTGGTTTTCACAGCGAATTTCGATTATTTGGAGTAGAAAGTTCGTTAAAGATTTTATATTTGTAACACTTCTTAAAATCGATTAACAATACACTTGTGATGATGGAATTTTAATTTCAAAAATGCCTTAACTGCTGTTATCGTAGTATGTAACTAAATAATTAAACCCATGACCTAAAGAATATGTTGCACTGATTAATAAAAATGCCTTTTAAGCCATAGACACATCACATGAGAAATTTCATAAATAATTCAATCTCACCCAACATGGGAGCTGCTGTAAGCCATCCTTTATCGGAAGATGTCATCCGGAAGTCACATGTTGCTGCTGGCAACACGAACGACACTATGGTGATGCCGATGGCAGTGTTCGCGTATATTAGACCGGTGACTGCGAGAAGGCAAAAGTGGAAACGCCCAAACCCTGTAAAAAACATGAATTAAAAATGGTCAATACACGTAAGCTCAGAGGCTGTATCATGTCACTTATCTATCATAGACATTAAATACCTAATTACAATTACCATCACCGTTACAGTCTATTTAAGTCCACTGCTGAACATAAGCCTTCCCCATAGATTGCCTTATTGGTGGGATATTTGTCATAGTTGGCACGCTTGGCAAGCGGGTTGGCCACCACAGTTTTTAATTTTTAGTCGTTATTAGAAAGACGCCGCTGCCCATCTCCTAATATAAGCCCATAAGGTTTTCCAGATCGGAAGACCGGTTATCGGGAGAGATAAATATTAAAAATAAAAAGTTAATTTTTTTGAGAGGAGGTTACAAAAAGTACTTTTAACTAAACCAATAAAAATACACTTAATTGTTAGTTTCCCACATGTATTTGGTATTGGACCTTTACTAGATTCCACCAATTTGGTTCCTTTAGTTGTAATCAGAAAATATTTAAAATTCAAACAATTTACTTCAAAGTTACTAACTCATCTTTTATAAAATCAAAGGTCATACGTAAATTTTTCGAGAAGCTGTTTGTCTGGAGATTTTGAGTTTTGTCGGGAGTCTGGAGATCATTTAAAATGTCGGTAGAATCCAGATGACTCCCGATCATCTGGCAACCCTACTTACGATACCCACGGGATGAAATGGGGTAGTGGATATTTTTATAACGCCACTATACGTAATTATAATTAATAATACAGTTGCAAGGTTTTATTCTCATTAGACTGTAATGTTATGTGTATGCTAAAGTAACATTAACGAATAAAGTAGCCATTTTAGATAAAATAGTTTTGTTTTAATAAGTGACTGGTAACTGAAATATTGTCGCAATTATACACTTACCAGTAGCTAAAATTGCAGCTTCAAAATCTGCTCCATGTTCCAAGAAATCCAAACCTGTAATAAAATAGATTTATTTAACACATCCTGCAATCATGTATTATTTAGATGTAAAATATGTTAACAAATATCTCCTAAAACTACTTAACTACTAAAACTGGTCTATTAACAGTCCAAGTCACTCCACTGTGTAAACTCAAACTCATATTATCACAGATTTGTTGATCAACACTTGAAACGAAAATGAGATTGCTCTATTCTTGTATTAAGATTAGTCATTGTCTATAAAACAGTTGCTTACACTAATGTTGTTCTAACTACTAGGATACTTCACTAATAAATAAGTATCAATTTATATTTGATCACGACTATTTTGACATTCTGCGAATTGCTGAGTTAAGAAAAAGGAAAGTTACGGCAATTTGATCAATAAAAATAAATCTCTAAGCGTCAAATTCCTATAAAGTATTAGTGCTTATCATGTAAGCACAGGTTATTAAAGCGACAAAATAATGACAGATTAATATTATTGAAGGACTAACTACCCTCGTTTTGTATTCAACCACAAATAAATAGTGGGGAAATATTATTGTAAATGATTTTTGTTTTTGAATGTCGTTTGAACATATACTAAAAATGTATACCTAAAATTAGAATCCCTTAGTTTATTTCGTTAAACAAAGCGATTCTACTAGAGTTTTTTTTAAACGCGTGATTTGATAACGTCAATTCAAGCTGTAAGGGTTCTTAAGTGGTTAGATTGATTATATAAAACAAAGTCGGCTTTTATATTTCATGATAAGAGTAATGATATTATATTTTCGCTTATGCATTTAAATGTGCTAATTGGAAAATAAATATAAAACAAGCGTAATTGATAAAGCAATGCATCGTAGGAAATTAGACATTAATAACGCTTAGCGTATTTCGTTACTCATCAATTCAAACTCTATAGTTACAGGAGCTTAATCGAACATAAGGATGTTTGCAGTGAAGAAAGAGGTAATGGTGGTCAGGTGGGCAATGATGGTCACTAGAACCAAAACTTTGACAAGATAACATAGAAAATAGTTGACGACATCACGCTCTAAATTCGAATATTCAATTAGCACGAAGCGTTTTTAGTAGTTGGCCATGTTACGTATTTTTTTGAGATTTCGATTTATAAAATAAAAGGTAAGTTATTAATTTAAGACCATTTTACTAACGTAATATTTTTTAATCTGAACTTAATCCTATAAATGAATCGTTTAATATTTTGTTTATTTTATATTTTTGGTCCTTACTTTTCTGGGGTAACGAGTGGAAGTTTGTTTTATGACCTTGTTTGCTGGTATTTCTTAACAAATTATTTTAAATATTTTTTTCAATTTTATTAAATCAATAATTACATCCAATGTCAACGAATACCGCTAATTCGTCTTTAATTAGGTTTTTCTCGGCGAGACTAAGATTTTCACCGCAACTATTCTAAAACAAAAATGAATAGAAGAGGGAAACTGGCAATCAAAATTAAATAAAAAGCAAACAAAAACGCAGGCAGAGAAAAAGAAAACCGGAATGGATGAATATTCTGAAAACAGGTTTATTTTCCCTTAGGTTTAGTATCAAGCTAAACATTTTAATTTATTTAATTCACACAATGTAGTTTAATGCGAGTCAATGTTCATATAATATTTTTAAAAGTATATTTTCAATACTATATGTAAGGTTTAGACTAATAGATTAATAGCTATCATTAATACATACTATTTTAATAAAGTATAGTATAAATAAATTTCGTTCTTTTATTTTCCCTTTCTCCCCTACTAACGAGTAAAAACTCTATCGTCGTTGTGACTCAGTCTTGGTTAATACAAACTTGCAGAACTATCATTTTATCCATTTCAGACAGTTCCAAATATTAACCGATCGAAATCGCTGTGCTATTGAATTAGTTAGATTAATAACAGGCGTTACTTAGCGCTTCTTCGGATTGCCTATTGAATTATTTTCAATGAGCAAATTATGTCAGCAAAAAAGAAGACAGAACTATATGTAGGTTACGAAGGATACTGAAAGCATACTAAACTTCTTTATACGCACTCAGATACACATATGCACCTAAAACCATGTTATTGGCTGCAAATTGTTTACTTATAAATCAAATAATACACAATGCTAAACTTTAGACACGCACTCATGCACACATCCTGTAATCAGTTGAATTTATCAAAGTATTGTATAAAGGCTTTAATTAAAAAACAACATAAACAAAAAGGGAACAAAATAAACATTCAAAAATAGAACGCTGAAATATTTTTACTTCATTTATTTATAAACTGAAGCGTAGAGGTGGCATAAAGCGTACACATTTAAGTATCACCTTATCTTTAACAACAGAGCAGTAGCGTTATTTGCTGAAATTGTCGCATGATTAATCAATTTTGAAGAAGGGTTTTACCATCATAAATATAACAAGGCGACATAACTAAACATCGGTACGCGTTTTATCAGAATATTGTGTGCTCATCGCTTTAAGGAGACAAATAAATGCGACAGTGACACGGTCATTTTATGGCATTGTATGTACGTCAAGGCCTGTTGAGAAATTGTAACGGATTGTTTTAAAGTTTGTTTTAAGTATATTATGCATATAATTTTATAGCAAGTTAATGATGAGGGCGTCGGTTTTGTGGATAACGTGGTATATCGATGATGTATTTATACGTGGCCACGCTGCTACTGTATATATATATATATATATATATATATATATATATATATATATATATATATATATATATATATGAACAAATATGAAGTACTAGCGGTCACTCGGCTTCGCATGTGTGATTTCTGGATCTCGACAACAGCACCACCTGCCAGGTCCAAATACACACAAAAAAAATCATCCAATTCATTTGAGCCCGTCGACAAACAGACAGCAATTGACTTTTATATATAAGATGTATGAAAATAAGACCTGTGAACTGTTTAAAATTGAAACGATATTTATACATGCTTACGGATTTTATTTTTAAAAACAAACTTGTTGGGAGCTTTTTTAACGTCAAGAGGGCGAAAGAGTGTGATAATAAACCAGTACGGTGCGGTGTTAAGGCATAAGCAACTTAAGCTTTCCCGAAGAACGCAGACAACAATAATTATGAGAATCTCCCAGGTACTGAAATTTGGATTTCAAATGCTCGGGAGCACACGGATCGTTCAGAATTGAGAAAAGGGTGCAGAGGATTCGCACGTATCTGTGCTGATAGATAAGCAGCTAATTTAGTTGTAAAAATAAAAAAAGATGTGTTTAAAAGTAAAAAAAGGTCGTATTTACGAAAATACTCCCCTCCTGTACCCTCTCCCCCTACCGCTGCAGGCGAGGTGGAGTCGCGGGGGAAAAAGATTATTGGTATGCGATGCGCCACTTGTCGTAGTCTCCGCGTATCTAGCGGGGCCGCACGGTTGATGATGTGGTAGAGCTGCGGGAAGGAGAAGTGTCGGTATTGCGAGGCGCTGCTCTATTTACCCTACGCGGCCGAGACTTGGTTGGCGGCGGAAACAGAGACCAGATCTGCCATTGGGGTCAGTAAAAATAGTGCTTCTGATTGCTCGATTTACCTGGCCTCATGGCCTCCGTATTTTGAATTATGAATTTGCATCAATTATATTTGAGGGTTCCACTTGCGCATGTAAGTGCAGATCAATCATTATGCTACTTAATTTTTGTGGCTTATAACATCAGGTACATTAGATAAATATTTGGAACACATTGACATTGTTTTAAGTAAATTAAATAAAACTGGCTTAACGTGCAACTTGCAAAAATGTGAATTTATTTCTTTACAGAAATCAAGATGCTGGGTTTTATAATTTCGACAGAAAGCATAAAGACAGAACACAATAAGATTCGGGCAATTCAAAAGTTTCCAGCACCCATAAAGATTAAGCAGTTGAGGGCCTTGTTTAGGTCTTTGCAATGTTTAAAGAAGGTTCATTCCAAAATTATAGCGCGAGCATGATACCGCTCTGTGAATTACTAAAAAAGGGACATAAGTTCCGATGGAGCGAAATAGAACAGACGGCATGTGATTTTATAAAACTCTCATAAGTGACGAGCTGACGAGATACGGATATTAAAAATAATATATCGAAAGTATTGGTTCTGTGGTCTAGACTCAAATATTTGTATGTATTGCGAAGTATTGGAAAGTTTGAGTTTAATCTCGAAATTGTGTCTGAATTAATGTGTAATGACATGCAGTGGCGGTGTAAGAATAACTAGTAGAATAACTAGTAGTGTAAGAATCACCATCAGCCGCCGTAGATTCTCACATCACTTGAGGATGCCTCGTGTAGAGGCGAAATACGTTTCGTATTATCGTCCATGGTGTGTCTTCTTATATTTTATCTTCTATCTTATTTATACCTTACCTGGAATAGTGGTGTTGGAAGTTAGTGTTGCCGGGAGTAGTGGTGTTGGGAGTAGTGGTGCTGAGACTAGTGGTGACGGAGTTAGTGCAAGCAATTGAGGGAGGGCGGGAGGTGCTCTTCAATCCAGGTAAGACACATCATTGTATTTAGTTAGCGGAAGTTTGCAAATTAATCAATATCTTTATGGTGTTAGAATATCCACTACCCCATATCGTCCAGTGAGTGTCGTAAGAGGCGACAAGGTAAATTGAAACAGATGATGGCAGCTTTTACCTGATACCAAATCGAAATAATAAAAACCTGCGGTTCGTATACTACCGCTCGCAAAGCGTGCCATCTACGACCAAATTCTCCGTATGAGGCAATCTATGGGGGGCTTATGTTCGGCAGTAGATTTTATAGGATTTAATAGATGGATGGAATGGATGTCTTACTAATAATTAGAGAAATATGCTGATAATTTCTTTTGCGAATTTGACACCGTTATTATTTTTCAGTCCATAGATGTCACTGTGGCCGAAATTACCCTTTCTAAATCATTGCAGTCAGGGGACAAAATTACATGCAGTTTACTATATCAATTGTATGATAAAAATGAGATTTATGTATTTATATTGTAATAGTTACGGCCATAC